AACCACAACAAAAACAAAAAAAAAAAAAACCAAACCAAAACAAAAAAAAAACACACAAAAAAAAAACCAAAAATCATAAGACACCCCCTTCTACCCCCTCCACAGGCCGAACGCGACTCGGGGCGGGACGCGCGCCGCTGGTGCCGCCGCCGGGCGGTCGACGAGGCGCGGCTGCTCGAGCTCCTCAAGCTGCGACGCCAGTTTGCCTCTACACTCGAGGCGCTCCAGCTGCGCGCCCGCCGCCCAGCGCGCGGGCGGGAGGACGGCGGCGGAGGGGGCGGCGGCGGCGGCAGGCCCGACCCGATGTCGGCGCTCGAGCGAGGCGGCGGCGCCGGGCGGGAGGGGGGCGGGCGGGGGGAGGGGGGCCGACGGCGCGAGGCGGACGCGCGGCGAGAGCTGCAGGAGATGCAGCGGCGGCAGGAGGCCCAGCGGCGAGGGAGGCGGCTCCTGACCCTCGGTCCGGAGGCGGAGGCGGACGAGGGGGAGGGCGAGGAGGCCGAGCAGACGCGGGAGGGGGAGGGGGCCGACGAGGGGGCGGGCGAGAGGCGGGGGAAGCGGCGGCGAAAGAGCGGCGACGAGACGGACGCCGACCGTCTCGTGCGGCTGCAGTACGAGGTGCTGCGGGGCTGTGAACAGCGTCTCTTCACACCTCGAGCTGTGAATAGGTGCGGCTGCAGTACGAGGTGCTGCGGCCGAGGGACGTGACGCGAGGCGGGACGGCGGCGCTGCCCGCGCGCGAGACGGCGCTGCTGCAGGCGCTGCTCGTCCTCGGCCTGTACCCGAACGTCGCCGTGCCCGACCCGCGCAACGGGAGCCGCAGCCGGCCAGAGCAGCTCTACCACACCGCGCGCGTGCCCGACGTCCTTCTCCACCCGAGCTCCACCGCTGTCGTCGGCGCCGACGAGCGCGCCCAGCGCGCGGCCGCCTCGGCCGGCGGCAGCGGAGGCAGCGGAGGCGGCCGAGGCAGCATCCTTCACGGCGGCGGGGCGTCGAGCGGCAGCGAGCGGCCGTCGGCCCGGCCGGAGCTCCTCGTCTACGCCACGCTCCTTCGGACCAAGAAGACGTACCTGACCGGCGCCGCCGCAGTCAGTGCGCTGCCGGCGCTGCTTTTGTGCGCAGTGCGCGTCGACGCGAGCGAGGACTGCACGCGGCTTCTGGTGGACAACTGGCTCTGCGTCGACCTGCCGAGCGAGTCGGAGCGCGCCGCCGCCCTCGTCGGCGAGGCGCATGCGCTGCGGCGGGGCCTGTCCCGGCTGCTACGGGCGCGGCTGCCGCAGGCAGGCTGCGAGGCGCCGCTTTCCGACCTGCCGTCGCGGCTTCGCCGCCGCCTCGACGCCTCGCCGCTGGTGCCGCTCCGTGAGATGGCGCGCTCGGAGCGCGAGCCGGGCAGCCTGCCCGGCTTGGACGGCGAGGCGCTCGCCGAACGGCTCGCCCAGTTCTTCTTGGCCGCGCCGCCGCGGCACAGCCTGCGATCGGTGCCGCGCTCGCAGCTCGCCTCGCTCTTCGTCTTGCGCCCGCCGGCACGGGGGGGCGGCGCGGCAGGGGGGCGAGAGAGCGAGGCGGACGTGCAGCAGCGCGCGGCGGACGCCTTGCAAGAGGAGATCGCCGCGGGACGCTCGCTCGGCGCTTCTTTCGACGCGTGCAAGGGCGGGGCCCTCCTCACGCCTTGGTTCTGCTGGGCGTCGGCGCGCGCCGAGGCAGCCGACTCGGCGGGGTATAGCGCGCACATGAAGCGGCACACGCGCTGCAGCCAATGCGGCGCCGCCCTCATCGTCTCGCTCGCGGAGCTGCGCGCCCACCAGGCGTCCGAGGCTTGCCGCGAGGCGGCTGCCGCGAGGGCGGCCGACGAAGGAGGGGCGGCCGACGAAGGGGCGGCCGATAGGGAGGCCGAGGGGGCTGCCGACGCATCTGGGCCCGGCCAGCTCCCAGAGGAGGCGGAGGGCGCGAATGCGCGGACTCGCTACGCTTGCGACCTCTGCGAGAAGGAGTTCCTCTTCACGGCGACCGAGGTCCTCAGACATGTCGCTCGGCATCGGCAGGAGGCGGACGCAGAGCCGGATGTCGGTTAGAGGGATGCTTTTGTGGTGCTACTGGTGGGTGGGGTGCCAGTGAAAGGACGAATGTCCTCTCGGTCCCGAGAAGGAAGAAGGGAGAGAAATAACGGACACCACTGCGAGACCCTCCACACCTAACACTCGGGGCGCACAGAGTCAGACGTGGCACGGACGGGGCGCGGGCGCTTCAAACCTCACCGCTCCCCCGCGCCGGATCGGCAGCCCACAGCAGACGTCCTCCTTTCAGGGTATTGCAGGCGCGCGCAGGTAGCAGCGCAAGGAGTTCAGCATCCCGATCATACGCATGATGGCTCCAATGTCAGTCTTACACACCTCCAAGCATGGAGGACGGGCCCACACGCACACACACGCTGCACACGATTGGCTCGGGAGCCGACACGAGGCACGCTGTCACCGGCCGTAGCACTGGGTCCGGACTGCTGGACGCACAACACACAGCTCACAGGACAGCTCACGAGGTGGCGCTGTATAGTGAGAGTGAGATGGCTCCAATGATTGAAAGTAAAATATCTTTACTTCCAAAACCCGGACGTTCCCAGGGTTATGGAAGGTTCGACGCACCCCCGGACTGGGCAGAGAGATCCCAGTGCATCTGCGCTGGGCTGTCCACCCCGCCCCCACTTGCCCTGACTGCACAGGATTGCGTGCCCCGACGAGCGGCGACACATAGCGGGGGACACTGCGCCGGGGGGTATGCCTAACTTTGGTGCTTTGTGTGGGTCGCGTTCCCATGGTAGTTGTGTGGCTGAAGCCCTCGTGCCGCTGGCTTGCCCCTTCCAGCTGCTGGCCCCTCGAGACTGTCGGTGCTTGGCGGGAGGAGGGGGAGAGGGAGGGAGGCCCGGTGGGAGGAGAGGGAGAGGGAGGCCCGGTGGGAGGGGAGGGAGAGGGAGGCCGCCTTGGGCTCTTCTCCTCCCCCCTCCCTAGGCTCTTTGCGGTAGGTAGACATTCTACCTCCCATCCAACCCACCGAAACCCGTGTGGATGGGTTTTACCGCCACCTTTTACCATCCATAGCCCTCGGGTTTTACCTCGCGTTCTCTTGGTGTCGTCTATGGTTTGCTAGACCCATGAGACCATCCTCGCCGCGCTATCGGGCGCCTCCACCGCCGCCCTCAGCCACGCCGCTACGACCGTCGGAGGCGTCAACTCCGCCGTCACATGGTATCAGCTCTGATCGCGGTCCAGCGCCAGCCCAACACGCCAATCCACCCGCAGGCTCAGCGCCTGCCATGCGGCCGCCGCCACCAGTGCTGCGGCCGCCACCTCACACTCTTCTCCTCTCCCCACCCTGGGCTCTTCTCCCCTCCTCCCTGGTACTCTCGGCCTGATTACCGGAGCGACTGCTGGAGCAGACGCTGGGGGGACACTCACGCCCGGAGGCGGTACGCACGACCCGGAGGCGTGGGGCTGGGGGGGCGCCGCGCCGCCGCCGCCGTGCCGCCTTCTCCCGCTTTGACCTCCCCCAGCTGCTTCTCCTCAAATCAACCTTTGCAGAACCGCCAGCGGCGGTGGTCGAGCCGGTTCGCGGTTCGAGTCGGGACCTTTTGGCTCCCGGCTCGAAACTCGGGTGGAGGGTTGCTTCGCGGTAGCGAACGCGAGCGGCGTGAGCGCGTGCGTGTGCGCGTGCGCGGCTGCAAGGCGAGGCGCAGGCGCAGGCGCAGGGGCAGGGGCAGGCAAGGCGAGGCGGGCGGCGGCGGCGCGCGGTCGTTCCTTTTGCCCGGGTGAGGCGTGGCGAGCGCGTCGCGTGGTGATGACGCCGCACGCGGAGAAGCTCTTGGTGACCCACCGCGGTGGCAGCGAGCCAAAGCAAGCCACCTGCCGCATGACGGGTTGACCCGGAAAAAGAATTTTCTGCTCCAATGATTGAAGCGATCGCGAATCGCTTGCTGGGTACGTAGTGCTGGTGGTCCGCGCCTTCGTCAAGACAGGCGCACAGGCCTTGATGAAGCAAGCAAAGATCTTCAAGACGTTGCGGTGGAATATCTCCTCCCGCGAGCCGGGGCCGTAGTTGATGGTGCTTTGCAGGCGTTCGCGTTGGCAAGTCGCACCAACATCGACCGCTGAGGGCGCCTCTTCTGACTGACTCGGACCTCCACACAGAAGAACGATTCGGCTGTTGGGCCGGGGAGATTCGTAGCGGGGGGCCCCGCCAGGCTGGTTACTGATTCCAGCCAGTGTTTCTTTCCTGCGCTATTACTCGAGTAGCGCAGGAAGGGGCCACCAATCTGAAAGAAATCGCAAAAGCCGGTCTGTATTTCTTTTCTGCGTGGCGCAGGAGGTCACCAATCGCTAAATTAGAAGGAGAAGAATTTTACAACCAAACCCTCTCTCTCACGACCAAGGAGAAAGAAACAGGGGCTCGCGCGTAGTAAAAAGAGAAAGAAATCGCTACTGTGAAGCTTGCTAAAATCGCGCTCATTTTGTGAGCCGCCCTTGGGTCAACCAAGCCCACGACGGCGCCAGGGCCGGGCCGGGCCTCCGTCAGGCTTCCTAGCGCGCATGCGCCTGCGGCTGTCCACGCTGACCGCTCTCTTTGCTCACGGCTCCGCTTCGAACAGCGACTGCAAGTACTTTGGCGACATCACCTTCGTCATCGACCGCTCGAGCTCGATAGGCGACAAGCTTCCTCTCATTCAAAACTTCACCCTAGAGCTCATCAAGGGGTTTGACCTCTCGCCCGAGACAGCCCAAGCGTCCGTCGTCGCGTTCAATCACGACGCATCCGTCATTTCCGAGCTCACGTCAGACCTCTCGACTCTTGAGAACATCGAAATCCCAGCAGTTAAGGGGTACACATTCATCTCCAACGCGCTCGCGTTGGGAGAAGAGGTGCTGTACCGAACTGCGGGGCAGCGAGGAAAAATCAATGGGCGCAGCCCGGGCAAGTTGCTCTTTCTTCTCACGGACGGTGAACAAAGTTGCATACGTCCAAACGGAACGTCCTGGGAAGGAGACGATCAAGGGTCAGATGGCTGCGATGGTCAGTTGGACACATGTCTTGAGTACTGCGACAAGCCCTCGGCTGAGGCGAGGGCTGAGGCCATCTCTCAGGCAGACGAGATCAAGGCGCAAAATGATGACCTGCTCGTCTACGCGGTCGGATTTGCTTCGGCCAACCGGCAGACGCTGAGAGCTATAGCATCACCTCCTGCATCGGACACAAACTACTCCTTCTTCGACTCCGACCTGACCACTGTGCGCCCCGCTGCCCCACTGCCTTCCACCCCCTTCCCCGCACCGCCCCCGACCCCTTCCCCGACGCGCGCTCCTCCGGAAGGTGCTCGAGTACTTCAAGACCAACGACCTATGCACGACTGCCACGCAACCTCGGCCGCCGCCGCCGCCCGCCCCGCCGCCACCCTCACTGCCTCCATCTCTACCGCCGCCGCCGTCGCTGCCGCCGTCGCCGCCGCCGTCGCTGCCGCCGCCACCGCCACCGCTGCCACCGCCGCCCTCGCCGCCGCCGCCGTCGCTGCCGCCATCACCCCCGCCCTCGCCGCCGCCGCCGCCGTCCCTGCCGCCGCCCTCGCCGCCGCCGCCGTCGCCACCGCCGCCGTCGCCGCCGCCATCCCCTCCACCCTCGCCACCGCCGTCGCCGCCACCGCCGTCGCCGCCGCCAGCGCCTCCACCGCCGTCGCCGCCACCGTCGCCGCCGCCGTCGCCGCCGCCCTCACCTCCTCCGCCGTCGCCGCCGCCATCGCCTCCACCCTTACCGCCACCGCCCTCGCCGCCGCCCTCGCCGCCGCCGCCGTCGCCGCCGCCATCACCCCAGCCCTCCCCGCCGCCGCCGCCCTCGCTGCCGCCGTCCTCCCCGCCGCCCTCGCCGCCGCCACCGTCGCCGCCGCCGCCGTCGCCGCCGCCGTTGCCTCCACCCCCGTCACCGCCGCCGTCGCCGCCGCCGTCGCCGCCGCCCTCACCTCCTCCGCCATCGCCGCCGCCATCGCCTCCACCACCGTCGCCGCCACCGTCGCCGCCGCCGTCGCCGCCGCCGTCGCCGCCGCCCCCTTCGCCGTCGCCGCCTCAGCCATCACCGCCGCCGCCGTCACCGCCGCCCCCAGGACCGGCGGCTCCGCCTCCGCTGCCTCCTCCACCGAGCCCGCCACCGTTGCCTCCGCCACCACCACCACTGCCGCCGCCCCCGTCGCCTCCACCGCCATCACCGTCAGCGCCGCCGCCGCCAGCGTCGCCACCCCCACCTTCTCTGCCACCGCAGTCGCCACCGTCACCGCCATCGCCCCCTCTCTGTGTTGAGTGCTATTCTCCTCCTCTTCCGCCCTCGCCACCTCCCTCCCCGCCCCCGCCGCCGCTGCTGCCGCCTCCACCGTCATCTCCTCCGCCGTCGCCGTCGCAGCCGCCGCCGCTGCCGCCTCCACCGTCATCTCCTCCGCCGTCGCCGTCGCTGCCGCCGCCACCACTGCTCCCGCCGCCCGAGCCTCCAAGTCCGCCCTTTTCGCCGCCGCTGTGGCCGCCGGGCGCACCAGGTGAGCCGTGCGTCGGAGAGGAGTGGCTGCTTGAAAACGGGTACAACGTCACAAACTCGACCAACGGCACCTTCATACCTTGCATCGTCCCCATCCCGCTGGCTCCAATCGTTCCCGGCGCGGTGGCTGCCTTTTGGCCGCTCTTGGCTGCCCTCCTCGCGCTGCCCTTGGCTGGCGGCGCGAGCCTCTTCTTCGTGCGCAGCGTCAAGCCGCCGCCGGCGAACGAGGTCGGAATCGACGGGGCCCAGTTTCCGGAGCCCGAGCCCGGGGCGTCGAAGTGGGCACCACCACCGCCCGACGCGGCGCCTGCTCCGGCGGACGACGCCGAGGAGATGGCCACCGTCGAGCTCGTCGAGGAGGCCCCGAGTCTCTTTGACGTGCCCCCCGACCACGGGCCGCTCGCATCGGTCCCGCCGGGCGAGGCCTTCCATTTGCAAGAGCAGGCCGACCTCGTGAGCCGCATCAACAATGCGCTGCGAGACACGCCCGTCCTCGCCAGCGGCAGCTTTCCATCTCGGCTGCGTCATGTCGCAGAGCACTCCCTCACCTTGCTGTGCTCCCATAGGCCCGATCAACCCACTCAGCGACGCCGTCCTCGACGCGATCGCTGGAGGAGAGCTGCTCCCGCACCTGCTCAACGCCGGGGCACCCGACTCCATCGACTTGCGCGCCCTCAACAGCGCGCCGCCTGATGACTCCACTGGAGACTCGCTCCAGCCGCTTGCAAAGGCAGAGCTACCCGCCGGCAGCGCCACCGTGCCCACCGAGCCCTTTGTGGCGCGCTCTGTTGCAGCCTCACCGCCGGGCGGCGTGTTTGCCAGCGGAAAGCTAGGCGCGGCCAGTCCGTTGCCATCGAGCCTGTCCCCGGAGCTCGCGCTGGAGAACCACACTTTGCTCGTCAACGCGGCGGCGTCGGTCGGGTCGGCCGTTCCGCAGATCCACGAAACGCAGCTGCTCTACGCGCCGCAGCACAAGCAGGTGGCGCTGCATCAGGCGTACAACATCATCAAGCACGGGCTGCTCTCCAAGATCAATGCGCAGGCCCTGCCGCACCTGGCGGCGCTGCTGGAGGATGGCGAGAAGCCGGGGCAGGTGCCGCCCGAGGCGCTGCTGGCGCGCTGGATCAACAAGAACGTGGACGACTACCTGCAGCAGCACCCGCAGGACCGGCGGCGGCTGCCCACAGACCATATCGTCAACGACGCACTCGTCGGCGACATCACCGCGCAGCTGGCGATGGCGCTGCACCAGGTGGCCAAGGAGCCGCTCTTCTCGATCGGCAGCACCATCCTCCCCACCGTCCCCATCGTGGAGGCCATCGGAAGCGCCCCTCCGCAGTCCGGCGCGTGGGGCCAGCACGGGGCCATCGACCCTGTCGCCCTTGAGTCCGCGGCTGCGCCCACGCAGCCCGTTGCCCCTCAGCCGGCGGGAGTGGCTCCACCGAGCAGTTGGCCTGTCGAGTCTTCGCAAGCGGCGCACGAGCGGCTCCCCACGTCTGCGGGTGGCGCCGGCGGCATGGCGGTGCCACGAGGCATCGGCCCGGGCCTCACCCATCTCACAAACGACCCGTCATTGGCGCACAGCAGCGCCAACGTGCCGACGGTGTCGTCTATGCCCGCCGTCGCGCCCGGGCCCGTGGCTGCCGGCGATGCGTCCTCGAGCGGGTGGGCACGCGACCCGCTGGCGAGCACGCTGGAGAGGGGCCTACCAACCACGGCAGTTGTCCCACAGCTGGCTGCTGGGGCTGCGGGCGATGCGCCGGCTGGGGGAGAGGGGCACGGCAGCTCCGCGCTTGCAATGCCTTTGCAGCAGGCCATCGTGCCGACGACGGTCCAGATGCCGCTCGCCGCAGCCCATGCCGGCGAGGGGCTGCCCGAGACGTTCTGGCGCGCGAGCCCTGGGGCGCGCGCCAAGCAGGTCATCGATCATGCGGTGGCGGCGGGGGGGCCAAAGATATTCGCCGTGGCTCCCAGCGACCTCACGGAGCCTCGGCCTCGGATGCAGCAGTGCTTCGTGGCGTCGGTGGTCGATGCGCTCGGCGCGGGAGGCGGCGAAGAGGGCGAGCTCGACACGTACGAGGAGGAGACAAACGACTCGGCCGAGGCGCGCGTCTTCAAGAACTGGGCGGCGTCGCTCGGCCTCAAGCTCAACATGAAGGACCTGTACGCCGACTCGTGCTCCGGCATCGTGCTGCTCAAGGTGATGGACCGGCTCGAGCCAGGCGCGGTCGACTGGGGCCGCGTCGAGGGCACGCCAAAGAACAAGTACGAGACGGTGGCCAACTGCAACTACGCGGTCAAGGTGGCCAAGGAGCTTGGCCTCAAGCTGACGGGCATCTCGGGGCAGGACATCTCGGAGGGCAAGGAGAAGCTCATGCTTGCCGTGTGGTGGCAGCTGATGCGCAAGGACTTTATGCAGTTCCTCGACGACCTCGACATGGACCAGGCCTTTGTTCTTTCGTGGGCCAACGCCCAGGTTGCGCGCAGCGGCGCCGACATGCAGCTGTCTCGCTTTGGCGACCCGGCCATCAAGAGCGGCGTCTTCCTGCTGCAGCTGATGAGGGCGGTCGCGCCAAAGGCCATCAAGGAGGACCTGATTCGCCCGGGCCACTCGGAGCTCGACCGGCAGCTCAACGCCAAGCTCGCCATCTCGACGGCGCACAAGATGGGCGCCCGCGTCTTCTGCGGCTGGCAGGACATCCTCGAGGCGCGGCCCAAATTGATGCTCTCTATGGTGGCGGCGATCATGAGCGTCTACCTGAAGACCAACGACCTCACCAAGGACGACGTGCTTCGTGAGGTGCGGCGCGGCTCCGTCGCCCTCGACTCGATGCGAGCGTCGCAGCGCGGCTCGAGCGAGTCGCTCGGCGAGCGCACTGCGTCGACCCTTGCCGGTAAATTGGCACAGGCGTGGGCGAGGCCGCACGTGGCACCGCGAGCCCGCCTCAACGAGGCCGAGGCGAGCAAGGTCCTTGCGTGGTCCAAGCCGCACGCCATTATCGAGAGTGTGCGCCGCAACCTCGAGGAGGACCGCCTCGAGGACCCGGGGAAGAGCAAGGCGGCTCAGATCCGGGAGCGGGCGAGTGCGACGCCCAGGGCGGAGAGGGGCACGGTCAAGCGCTCGGAGATGAGCAAGTCGTTTGCGACCAAGGTCAAGCGAGCCAAGGCGCTTGCGGTGACCTCCAGGCCCTTCGCGCCGGGCCTCGATCCAATGCCGTCGGCTCGCGTCGCCATCGCCGTCGACATCCCGCCAGCGGTGGGACTCCCCGCGGGCGAGCCGCCGCTTCCGACGGCGAGGGGAGGCGCCCCTTTGCAGCCAGCAGAGAAGCCTCCCGTCCAGGACGCGTTTGTTGTGTCGCTCGAGATCTGAGCCGTCAGGGCGCGCCGCGGGCTGGGCGGGACTCGCGCTGCCTTTTCTGTTTTTCGCCAACGGGCGACCTCTTGCCTCTGCTGTACGTTGCGCATGTGGTGCATGAGATGGGTGTCTCCTGTGAACTATTGTGATAGTCACGTTTATATTTCAAATCAGCTGCCCCTTCCTCGGACAAACAACGCTCTGCGAGATTGCCGGATGCCCCGCCCCGGGAGGGGGGCGTGGGGCGCACCAGCACCGCACGCTGCACGCGCCCCCAGCGTTGGTTCACTCCCTTAGACTCACAGCTTTTTTCCACACCGCGATATCGCTCGAGTTCAGAGCCGAGATGCGCTGCCCGTTGACGTAAAATGTGGGCACGCCATGGCCTTCGTTGTTACAGTCGTATGAAACAAACAAGCGGATTGTCTCATACACGGCGCCTCACTCTCGAGCTCACAGCCTTCCACCGCAATTACGAGCGCACGAGATAGATTACGCTCCCTACCCGCCCGCCTCCAACAGCGAGAGCAAACGGTCGGCCTGCTGCAGCAACCCGCCCTCCGCGGCTAGCCCCGCCATCGCATTCGCCGCCGCCACCGCCGCGGGCAATGAGCAGCCCGGTGAGATGCCGAACTGGGTGCGAATCCGAGCGATCTTTTGCGGCAGCGTGGCACTGCGGCCGGCGACGTCGGCAACGCCCGTGTGCTGGCCTCCGCGTGCGCCGCCTTTGGCTGCCGAGGGAGGGCCTGGCCGCGGCTCGAGGTCCGCGAGCCTTCGGAGGAGCGTCTCCTCACGAACGGCAGCCTCTTCTGCCTCCGCCCTCGCCGCCACCTCGCGCGCTTTCGCCGCCTCCGCCTCCGCCCTCGCCGCCTCCTCGCAACGCCTCGCAGCCTCCACCTCCGACCTCGCTTGCGCGATTTCCCGTTCAAGTGCAAGCCGCGCGTCGGACTGCTCCGGTGGCGCCGCCCGCGGTGCCGCGGCTCGCGCCTTCTCCTCCTCCCTCCGCGCCTCCTCCTCCCGCCGCGCCTGCGCCTCCATTTCATCCACCAGCGCCTGCCGCGCTGCACGCCGCCGCTCCGTCTCCGCCGCCCTCGCCGACTGCTGCCGCTCGCTGCGGGCCTCGCGCTCTGCCGCCGCGTTCGCCGCCGCCGCCGCCCGCGCCTCGCGTTCCAGCCACTCCTCCCTCTCCCGGTGCGCCGCCTCAGCCGCCAGCCTCGCCCGCCGCTCCTCCTCCGCCGCCCGCTCCGCCGCCTCTGCACGCGCCGCCTCCTCGGCCGGCGTCCACCTGCCTTCATCCTCGCTGTCTGCAGCCGCCGCCTCACTTACCGCAGCGCCGCCTTTCGGCCGATCCTTCTTCGGCTTCTTTGTCCTCTTCTTCTTGCCCTCCTGCGCCCGCGGCGTGCCTGCGGCCTTGCTCTTCGCCTCCGCCTCCGCCTCCAGTAGCTCGTCCGCCAGCCTCTGCCGCCGCTCGGCCTCGGCCTCGCCCTCCGCTCGCGATGCTCCCGCCATCCGATCCTGCGCCCCTTTCCGGGCAGCGAGCGCGCGTCGCGCCCGGAGGCGCGCAGCGGAGGGCTCGACGGCGTCGTCGGTAGGGTCGTCGAGGGTCAAGAACTCGAGGCCGATATTGATGGGCTCCTTGTTCCCGGGGAAGTACACGGCGAGGCCGGGCTCATCCTTCGATGGTCCAACAACGGTGCCTCTTGCACCGAATACGAGGCGGTCGCCGTCCGGGTAAGAGATGTTCAAGCCAGTGAAGTACAGCTGCTCGCCGGTGCAATGGCCATCGGGCAGAGGCAGAGGAGGCTCGCGGCTGAGCACCTCGACAATACAATTCAGGGTCTCCTCGGCGTTGGCGAACTTCATCTTGAGGCCCGTCCTGGCAGTGGTCGGGCAAGGCTCCGAGGACGGGCCAGCCACCACGCCCACCTCGCCGTAATTGACCATGTACCCGCTCACGAGCTGCTTCGGTCCGGTGAAGTAGAGACGCTCTCCCGACACGTACCCCCCTGGCAGTGGCGGGGCTGGCGCCCAGCTGAGGTCGGGCAGTTGGCAGTCAATAGGCTCCTTGTTGCCTTCAAAGTACACGCAGAGTCCATTGCCTGCGCTGTTGTGACAAAGCACCTCTCCAACCGCGCCGTACAAAACCTTATCGCCATCTTCGAAGTGGATGCTCTCCGCAACAGAGTAGACCAGCTGGCCAGGACGGTAGCCGCCGGGAAGCCGAGGGGGCGGCTCGCGACTAACGGCATCGACACCGCAGCTCACCGAGTTGCCTGCAGCAAAGAGCAAGGTGAGGCTCTGCTGCAGAGGCTCGATGCCGATGACCTTTCCTCGCGCACCGTGCAGCGCCTTGCGGCGGCCCGATCTCGCCTCCACAAGGTAGTCCTTCCCAGTGAAGTAGAGTTCGTCATTGATACGAAAGGAGCCAAACGACACCACATCTTTCTGTGACAGAGGCGGCGGCGGCGTGTGGCTGAGGCTAGTGAGGTAGCAGTCGATGCTCTCCTTGTTTCCAGGGAAGCAAACAGCGAGGCCCACTGGCGAGAGAGACCTCGAGGCGCCAACGACCTCGCCACGGGCACCACGTTCTGCCCGCGCGCCAGAGATTAAGGTCTGCGTCCGACCGACAAAGTAAACCGGATCGCCGAGGCAGAAGCCGCCGGAGAGAGCGGGCTGGCCTTCCTCGCGTGTCATCGTCGGGCAACACTCCGGCGAGGATTCCACGGATTCCACGGATTTGGATTCCACGGATTTGTGCGGCGGAGCACCGCGCGGAGCCAGCAACGGCGTTTACCAGGCCCCGCCGCTTTTTAAAGAAGAATTCGGGCGCACCAAAAGAAGAATTCAGAAACCCATACCTCGAAAAAAGGACGCGCGCCTTCCGGACGCGGCGGACACGTCCCTCGCGGAGGTGCTGCAGCGCGACTTCTGGGTAGAGACAAAGAAACATCCGTGCGCTTTCCGATGTTTGCTTGGGGCGAAGACGCGCAGAAGCAGCTCGGCTCCGGTGGGAGTGCCCCACACTCTTCGCCGCTGCCGGCCGCGGTGTGCGAGGACGCGCTGCAGGCCGCTGTCGTGCAAGTTGCGTCTGGCGACGGCCATTCGGTCGCCTGCGACGCTCTCGGTGGCGTCTACTGCTGGGGCCGAAATCGCGAAGGCCAGTGTGGCGAGCTTGGCACGGCGCGAGTCTCGCAGCCGATGCTGGTGGAGGGACTCCAGCACGAGGCCATCGTCGCCGTCGCATGCGGCTCCGACTCGAGCTTCGCCGTCAGTGCAGGAGGCTCCGTCTTTCGCTGGGGCGCGACGCACCGGCCTTCGTCCGGCCTCGCCGACGCAAACGTCGCAGGCTATGGCCGCTCGGTGGACGAGCTGAGCGATCGCGAGCGCGCGATGCTCAAGGAGAGCCTGTTGAGCTTCCTGTACTCTGGCGACTCTGGCGAGCCGACGGATCATTCAGCGGCGGAGGTGGGCACTCGGCGGGAGATCGTCGCCTCGCCCGAGCGCGTGGAGCTTCCCGCGGGAGCGCGCGCCTGCGCCGTTGCCGCGGGGTTCGGGTTTGGCGTCATCGCGCTGCAGAGCGGAGGCGCGGCCCTCGCCTCATGGAACACGGGGCAACCGCGACACGGCGATGAGCGTGGCGCGTCACGCACTAGGCGCCCTTGCGTTTGGGCTCAATGACCGCTTCCAGTGCGGCACCGGCGACCGCGCGACAAAGGGCATACCCACGCGGGTCGCAGGGCTCGACGCGACGCGGCTGAGGTCAGCCACGCCACGTCCACGCCTCATCCGCGACAGGTCCACGACAGGTCGACTCTAAGACACGTCCACGACGCACGCACCACAGGTCGGTCGCGTGCGGCCAACAGCACTGCTTCGCGTCGGACGAGGCGGGCGGCGCCTGGAGCTGGGGCTTGGGAAGCTTTGGCCAGCTCGGCCACGGAGGCCGCTCCGACGAGCGGAGGCCGCGCGTGGTTGAGGCGCTGCGCGCCAAGGGTGCCGTCTTCGCTGTTGCTTGTGGGCAGCAGCATTCGGTCGCTCTGCTCCGGCCGGGCGGTAGTGGCGGCGGCGGCGGCGGCGGCGGCAGCGGAGGCCGAGGCGACGGAGGCGACGGCGGCAGCGGCGGCGGCAGCGGAGGCGACGGAGGCGACGGCGGCGGCGGGGGCGGGGGCGGGGGGGAAGGAGCATCTCTCTGGGGGTGCGGCCACGCCGAGTACGGCCAGCTCGGCACGGGCGACGCGGCGAACGTGGGCGATGCCGAGCGCGACTACCCCGAGCCGCGGCAGATCCCGCTGCCGGCCGACGGCGAGCCGTGCGGCGTGAGCGCCGGCGCTCTGCACACGGCGGTGCTCACCGAGCGCGGCGAGGTGCTGACTTTTGGCTGGGGAGCCGCCGGTGCGCTCGGGCACGGCGGCTTTGGGTACGAGCTCGAGCCGCGCGCCGTGGAGGCCCTCCGGTCGATCCGTGCGACGAGCATTTCCGCCGGGGCGCGGCACACCGTCGCCGTACAGGCGGCGGCCAGCACCGGCGGCCCCTCCCTCGCGCGAGACTTTGGGAGGCTGCTGCGTGCGGGCACAGGCGCGGATGTCGCCGTCGTGGCGGGCAAGGGGCCCGGCCGCCGCCGTTTCCTACTCCACCGCGCCGTCCTCGCGTGCCGCTGCCCGCGCCTGCTGGCGATGGCGGCGCTCTCCTCGCGCTTCTGCCGCGGCGCCCCCGCCGCGGAGGAGCCCCGCGAGTGGGAGTGGCACCGGCCGGAGGGGCGGTGCTACGAGGGAGGGTGGCCCCCACCCGACTGCCTCCCCGCACTGGGCCTGCCCGAGTGCCGCGCGCCCATCTTTGCCCTGCTGGCGACGTGGCTCTACACGGGCCGGCTCCTCTGCAGCGAGAGACTCTTCCTCGGGCAGCTGGCCGACGCCGCCGCCTCCCTCCGCCTCCGTGCGCTGGTCGCCGAGTGCCGCAGGCTGATCGGCTCGACCCTCTGGCCGGGCGACGCGGCCTCGCCGCACGACGACCTCGGCGCCTCGTTTGCGCGGCTGCTCCTCGAAGCAAGCAGCGGCCCGGCGGACGACGTGTGCTTGCGGGCGGTGGACGGCGAGGTCGGCGCCAGCCGCGCGCTCCTCTGCGCGCGGAGCGAGTTCTTCCGCTCCGCGCTGCAGGGAGGGTTCCACCAGCTGCCCACCATCGACTTGCAGTGGACCGGCGTTGGTCGGCACGAGCTGCGCCAGCTGCTCAGCTTCGTCTACTCGGGCCGCGTTGTGGCCAGCGGTTCCGAGGGGCGAGGTGATTTGGCGCTGCTGTCACCCGAAGCAGCGCTCTCCCTGTTGCCGCTCGCCGCCGCTCTGCTCCTCGACGGCCTCCAGCGCTTGAGCGAGGCGGTCCTTTCGGCGGTCGTCGACGAGGAGAATGCGAGCGCGCTCCTCGAGGTGGCGGACCAGTGCTATGCGAGCCGGCTCAAGGCCACGTGCTCCGAGGCGCTCCGTTCCTGAGGCTCCGCTGGCGTCCGTAGGGCTGGCATATGTCTACTAACATACGCGGATAAAACGTAAACAGGGGGAGAGAGAATATAAGGGGGTGAATCGCGCCCCCGTCCTCGATCGCCGTGCAAAGCTCGCTTCCCCCGGCGCGAGCCGAGGCCGGAGAAAGCTCTCTCACCGACGCCCGGGCCCCGGGGGCGCGCGTTGGCCCCGCCGGGCTCGCCCCTCGCCGTCAGACACTACGTAAAGCCGAAAAGCGCGAGGGGGCTCCCTGCATGCTCCCTGCTCACCTCGTTGCCACCGCCGCCGCCTGCAACGGCGCCGTGTACCGCCGGTACGCCTCTTCGTCTGGCAGCGCTCCTTGCAACGAGCTGTACACATCCGAGAGCCGCCGCCGGGCGGCGCTGCCGGTGCGGCGGCGGCGGTCCCACTCGTCGATGGTCACATAGCCGGCGGGCAGCATCACGGGCAGCTCCCCCACCTTTGCAAGCTCCACCGCGCCCTCCGAGTAGCCGGCGGCCCCCCATCGGCCGCCCGGTACGCCGAGGGCGGCGTCGGCGGCGGCAAGTGCGGCGGTGCCGTCGCCCGCGCTGCTGCGGTCTGGCCACGCCTCCTCTCCACTCGGCGAGACGAGGTGCTGCTCGTCACCGCCGCCAGAGGCGGAGCCAGCACCGCTGCCGTGCAGCCTCGCGCCCTTTGGCACGAAGGGCAGCGCAAAGGGGCGCGAGAGCAACCTGTCAAAGGAGACGTGGCCGCGGGGCGCGTAGAGGTCGTCAAACAGGGCGTGCTTCTCCCGCGCCCCGCCTCGGCCGCCCCTCTCTCCGCCGCCGCCGCCGCCGCCGCCGCCGCCGCTTCGACAGCCCCCGTCGTCGCTGCCCTCATCGGCACTGCCGCCGCCGCCGCCGCCGTCGAGGCCACCGATGACGGTGGTCTCCGCGCCGGTGCCTCCCGCGCCGCCACCCTCTTCCGCGCTTCCGCCGGACGGCGACGGCTGGCGGCTTTGGGGCTCGCCAGGCGGCATGGTGAGGGGCGCGTAGAGGGAGGGTGGCGGTGCGTTGTGTAGGTGCGAGTCCGACTCGAGCTCCCAGATGTGCGGCGCGCCGCGCGCGGGCACAAAGACGCCGAGGAAGACGTCGATGATGTGCTGCTTCTCGACGTCGGTGAAGGTGTTGCGGTAGAAGCGCTTGACGGACTGCAAGAAGTCCTTGGCCGCGTTCGAGTTCGTGGCGTGCAGCGCCTGCGACCCCGCGTACTGCAGCGCGAGCTGGGTGCCTACAGCACGAATGCACCCGCCCTGGAATGCGTCTCGCGGAGAGTACGAGCCCACGAATGCAGCTGCTGCAGCGCGGGGACGGTGACACGACTACTGAGTGCGTGTCTGCTCGGGCTGGCCGGCTGGAGCACGGCGGTTCGTGTTCCGCATCTAGGCCCGCGGTGCCCATCTCCTCAAACATGGACATTAGCAGGGTGGCGGCCACCTCGGACCCCTTCTGCCCGCCGGCCGCCTGGCCGCGGCTGCCGGCCGAGAAGCGAGGCTCCACCCGGCTCACCCCCAGCGCGGCCAGCTGCTGCTTGAGCACGCAGCGGCCGATGCAGAACTGCGCCACGTTCGTGCGGTCGAGGCAGTCGATGCAGTTGGTGCGCACGACGCCCGACTGCCGGTGCGGGACGCGCCCTCGCTGAGGCTCCCCCTCCTCCGCCTCGCCGCCGCCGCCGCCGCCGCCGCCGCCGCCGCCCCCTCCCGCGCCGATCCCCGCCTCGCCGCGGTCCAACCCCTCTCCGACGCTAGTGCTGCCGCGAGACGGCGCCGCGCCCGGCGTCTCGCTCGGCCTCGGCGGGACGTCTGGGGAGCCTGGAGGAGGGTTGCACACGAGAGTGTGGAGGCCGCACCGCGCGTCGCACTCCTGCGCCTCGCTGGAGGACGAGAGCCATGAATTGCGGAGCACGGCGTGGAGACAGGGACGTGTCCTCGGGTCTGTCCTCGCGGCATCTAGGGCGGAGGGGGCGCCTCTCGGCGAGACTGCAACGGAGGAGGGCAGCTGCGCGACCAGAGACAGCGCGTCGACCGACTCGACGGAGGCGGAGGCGGCCCGCAGGGCGCCGAGGGAGCGCGGCCCCGCGCTCCAGAAGGCCGCGATCTCCTCGCCCATCTCCTCGCCCTCGCCCTCCTCCTCCTCCTCGCCCAGTGGCGAGAGGCACGTGTCACCCGCATCTGGCGAGGGCAGCGGCGGCAGCGGAGCGAGGGTCGCCTCTTCGGCACCGCCGCCCCCGCCGCTTTGACGGTCCCCGCCGCCCCCTCGGTCTCCGCCGCACCCCCCTCTGTTGCCGTCTCCGCCGCCGACCCCTCTGTCCCCGCCGCCGCCGCCCCCGTAGCTCTCTCTGCTGCTGTCCCTGACGCTGCCACGGCTGCCGTCTCCGCCGCCGCCGCCGTCCCCGCCGCTGCTGTCCCCGCCGCCAGCACCTCTGCCGCGGCTGTCCGCACTCGCTCCGCCGTCCGCGTCGGCGACGAGCTCGTGAAGGGTGGCGCCGGCTCCTGCGGACGTGTCGTGGACGCGTCATGGACGTGGAGGCTGAGGGCGGGGGGCACGGCGCGGCAAACGGCAGCGGGGAAGGAACGGCGGCGGTGCGAGGGGCGACGGGGGGGCGCGCCACGGGCGAGCGAGGCAGAGTGGTGCCTCGGAAGCGTCTCGGAGATGTCTCGGAGATGTCTCGGAAGTGTCTCGGGAGTGTCTCGGAAGTGTCTCGGGAGTGTCCCGGGAGCGTCCCACTGCCTGCAGCGTCGCCGCCGGAGGGAGGGAGCGGCGTCTGGAACGCGCGCGGCGCGAGGCCGCGCGCGAGCGGCGACGCGTCGCCCGAGCCATTGGCCGAGTCGAGCGAGTCGTTCGAGGTCGAGCGCGCGAGCTGCTCGAGCTGCTGCACGTCTCGGGGCGACGACGGCTCCATCGTCGAGGTGAAGGAGAAGGAGAAGCCGCCGACGCCGCCCTGGGGAGGAGGAGGTACGGGGGGTAGGTTGGGAAGGCGGTAGGTAAGGTAGGGGCGATAAGCCATTATGGGGGGATGTGGCGGCTCGCACCAAGTGGTTCTAATCAATGTTCTTAATTCCGGTTCC